GCCTGGAAAATACGTGGTTACAGTTGAGTCTGTAAAAATAGGATAAACAGGTAGATTGATAGACTCTCACGCAAGGTACATGTGCGTTGATACATAGTCAGACATGCATATTCATATACACACACACACATACAGTTATTCACACACACGTGGATACAAAAAAAATGATAGATATATAGAAAGATGAATAGATAGATAGAGAGGGAAAGAGAGAGAGAGAGAGAGAGAGACGAGAAAGAAAACAGACAGAGACAGGCAGACTGGCAGTGAGAAAAAAAAATAAAATGAGAGAGAGACAGGCAGGCAGAGACAGAGACACAGATAGATAGAGGTAGAGATAGATAGATAGAGAGAGAGAGAGAGCAAGAGGGAAAAGGGAGAGCGAGAGAAACCCACACGCGTTTGTTGTTAATTGTTTATCGCTGCATTGTGATACTCCTGTTTTTGCATTAATTAATCTCCACCTCAAAGGACTGAACAACTTGTTCTCTCTGAGACTGTTTTGACATGCATGACAAAGAGAATGAAATACAAGCGGTGTTGCGAGGTGAACAATATTGCGAAATCTATGTAAACAAACCCGACGACTGTGAGCTCCGGCGTTCAACCCTCATATTTTTAGCGGCTCGAGAATGGAAGGGCTGACAGAAGCCCTGACTGCAAAACACATGTCATACAATCATATCCTGGGCCCTCGCGTGTCTAGGGTTGGCTGGCCGCGTTTGCAGCAAATACGAATGCAGAATGATGCATTTTTTCAGATTGAGCTTTCAGCCTGGATTTTATTCTTGTACATTCACATACATACATACATGTTATATCCATATATACATGTATATATACATATATATGTGTGTGTGCGCGCACTCACACGCACAAACACACACAAACACACACACAAACACAAGCACACACACATACACACACACACACACACACACACACACACACACACACACGCACGCACGCACGCACACACACACGCACACGCACACACACACACACACACACACACACACACACACACACACCACACACACACACACATATAATATATATTATATATATATATATATATATATATATATATATATATATATATATATGAGTCGTAGAGAACAATGATTAACCGAATTGATTACTGGAACGATTCTTGTGATGTAAGATTAATCGTATACTCTTTGAGACATGAGTGGTGTTATTAATATCGTCATTTTCTTCAAGCATGTCTAAATTAAAATGTTAATCAGTGGAGATATTTAAGACAGACATCAGTCATCATTTACAGGTCTCATCTTTTATTTTATTTTACAGACGCAGGCAAAAAATATATATGAAAACATAAGGAGTGGTCTCGAAATTTTCATCAGCCACCCCTTGATGTAAAAGTTTATATCAAGTTTCTGACATGGCTTAACTTGCGAGGTCCGTCGGCCGCGCTGCAAGCCTGACCTCGCTCAAGACATGGTCCTAATTACACAGTTTTGGGAACCACTTGTGAGGCGAGAGTCTTTAATAAACCCGGAACCAAACTTTAGGAAATCATAATATCCCCCTAGATTAAATTCAGAGAATTTTCTGAATATTTTCGCACTTCACCGGGAGCCTCGGCCGGGAGGGTTTATAAAGATGCTTTGAGATTTATTGCGTTATATATTTTGCACTTCCCTTGATATCACTGGGGATAATTTTGTTCCGCCTTTTCTGTTGAGGAAACCTTGATGTATGAGTGTAGTGAATGCAGTTTGTCTCTATTGCTCCTTGTACTTCTTACTCTCCCCGTCTCTCTCTCTCTCTCTCTCTGTCTCTCTCTCTCTCTCTCTCTCTCTCTCTCTCTCTCTCTCTCTCTCTCTCTCTTCTCTCCTCTCTCTCTCTCTCTCTCTCTCTCTCTCTCTCTCTCTCTCTCTCTCTCTCTCTCTCTCTCTCTTCTTTCACACATACACACACAGTCTCCCTCTCTTTCTCTCCCTCTCTCTGTCTCTTCCTCTCTCCTATCTTTCTCTCACTCTCTTCAAAAGATATGATTGATTTCAGTATCATAACAGAGTGTTTACCCAAGAAGCAGTAGATTCACTCAGCGCAATTCTGTATTGCAAATTTGTTGGGAACGATGTACATGAATCAGACAGGAATTTTTCGTGGCATGAATTCATTGCACAAAGTTTGCATATTTATTGATCTATGAAGCAATTGGCCGATAAAGCTTTACGGAGTTTTAAAGCACAGCTGAGGTTTTATTTTGTTATCGCTATAACCTTCTGCATTTAAAATCAAAAGAATGTAGAAGTATACTGTGCATCAAACTTAGTAAATCAGAGAATTCTTACAACACATATTTACACGTCCGAAAAAAGCCTCAGTTGCTTTTTGTAGTGTTCGGAAGTTATTTTTGAATCAGAGCGAAGAAAACCTGTGAACCAAATTCTATAAATGCAGTTTTGTAAGGTTTCGTCGTTTCAAAATAGCTATGACATACATACATCAATATATGAATACATAC